GGAAGAAAGTCCCACTCATGGCATGTGTTAATCCCATCATTTAATACTCCTCTGGCTCAGGCACAGGTAACAAGGTGATGGGCAGCATCTGAGTGCCTGAGAGGAATAATCTGTGTGATGAGGGATGGCTGTGTTGTCCCTCTGTCRTTTAATTCCCTTGCAAACAAACCGCTCCTGAAATTAATCTCTTTATTTGGGACAAGCTGCAGCTTGTGCTGGGCTCTGCTCTTTGTGGTGAGCTCCAAAGAAAAGTTGCTGTCCTGTGGGGTGTCCCCAAAGTGAGACTTGGGGCAGGTTGTAAATTCAGGGGGAAAGGATTTAGCCAAAGTTAGAATCCGCTCTTTGTCGGGGGAGCTGCCGACAACGTCTCTGTGTGGGTTTTTCCTGCCACGTTGGCTCCCAAAGAAAAGCTTCTATCCACGGTAATCAGGGTTTATTAAAGGAAACCATGAGAAAAAAAATGTCTTTAGATGAGATTAAAGGGATTGTGTAGCTGTGCTTGGTGCTGAATTGCTCGGTGCTGGGCGCCTGCTCTGTCAGCATCTCTGCCTGGGCTCCCTCACCCCTGAACAGCAAAGGAAACACAGGAGCGTGCTGCTAATTAGCTGGGCTTCATTAACCACCCTGGCACTGCCCAGGAGGCCTGGGTGCTCCTGGCATCCTCTTAGCCAGGTGGGCARATCACCACATCCATCCACTGGCCACGGGACCTCACCAGACCCGCTGTCCATGGGGATGTGCTGCGTTTGCTGGGATTTCCTTTCCTCCCAGAGCTGTTTTTCACCTCATTTTCATTGTATTCAAAGMTTTAATGTGGATTTTTGCTCTGGTTTTCCACACCCAGGCTCTCCCGTGTGGCTCCTCTTCCTGCTGACCTTGCAGTGTCCCCAGTGCCACATGTGGCCATGGCAGGGGACATGGTGATGTGGCTCTGTCTAACACCTTTGGTGGCAGGAGGGCTGTGGGGGTGTGAGGGAAATGCTGTCATCTCACATATTCACCCAGCACCATGCTCCTTCCAGGAGCTGTCACTGGGGTGGGGTGGATTTGTCCCAGTCTCTGGTACAGGGACGTGACCATGGATTTTGTGGGATTGTCAATCAAACCCCAGGTCTCCCAGCTCTCCCTTTCCCCTCTCCCTGTACACTTCCTCCTCTCTCTCAATTGACAGATCAGTCCTTTGTGTCCTTTTATTCCTGATTTATTCCTACTTCCTCAGGCATAAAGCATCCTTGACTTTGTCCCCTTGGAAGCTGCTGCTGYATTTTGAGGATGTATTCATCATTCCCCAACTTTCCCATCTAATAATTGGAGTTAAAAAATGTTTGGAATGTTTCTTCCTCTTAGGCTCTTCCACAACCCAACTTTTCCTGTCCAGGGCCCCATCTGTTTACAAGGGATTTGCATGTTCTGGAGTTTTGGGATTGTGTCCTGGAGATCTCTGAGCAGAACTGAGCTGCCTCCTTTAACTCAAACCTTTGCTGGAAATGGTCAAAAACAGCCAAAAAACACCACACTGTGGGGCATCATCATCACTTGCTGCCCTCCAGGAGGGAGCCAAACTCTGGGAATTCAAATTTTGTGGGTGCTGACTCTGAGTCCTTCCTCTGACCATGGATGAAAGCCTGTCTGAAACAGCTGAATTTGCTGTGTGACCTTCCCAGGGACCTTGAAAGTGCTCTTGTGGCAGAAGCCACGTTGAGGAGTGATCTGGCCTCACACAGGAGCCCTGTCTGGTGGGTCCTGGAACCACTGCTGGCCACATCACCAGTGGAAAAGCCAATTTGGGTTTATTTTGGAAATACCCAGCCCAGAGCTTGAGCTCATCCCTTGCTGCCTGCTGGCTGTGGCCTTTTGTTTATTTGCTTTGTTTTTAGGATGTAATTATTCTCTTGCAGACTGTGCATGTCCGTGGCACTGCGTTTTTGTCCTCCCAGCTGCTGTGATTTCTGCAATCCTGACACAGGGAATAAAAAGCCATCCACACCCCCTTCTCCTCGGTGCATCCTCTGAGGGGTTGTACACACCCTGCTCTATTCTGCAGGCTAAACATCCTCGCCCCTGACCTCTGCTGTTATTTATTAATTAAGACAAATTGTAAATTACAGCCCTCAGAGGCTCCAGGACTGATTAGGGCTCTGGGATGGAGGGTACAGCACGAGCAGATGGGAGAGAAGAGAGGGCCAGCAGCAAACAGAGAGAAAATCCTGCTCCTAGGGCCTCTCAGACAGCTGCTGGGAGATGGCAAAACAGCCCCAGGCTCCTGCTCTCCCTGCTTTGTCCCAAAAGGCTGCTCCTGAGCATTCCTGGTGCTCTCAGGCTGCTGATGCTCTTTCCTCTGCAGGTGAACTTCTTCCCCCGTGAGGTTCGGTGTTTTGGAAAATGCCCTTGCTGGCTGCAAAAGCCTTCCTGGAGTTTCTCATTGGAGTCTCTGTGGTTTCCAGGTTAAATTTGCTGTCTTTGCCTGGAGGAATCACAGAATGGCTTGGGTTGGAAGGGTTCTAGGAAGGTTCTCCTCACCATTCCCTTCCTCTGTGAGTGACAGTCTGACCTCAAATGCGTTCTCATCTGCATGGGCTTTGAAGAGTTTTTGTCTGGAGTCTGTTTTTTCCCCATTTTGTGTTGGCTGTTTGTTTTAGTGGGCAGATTTCCTCCCGTTGTTGTAATGATGCTGATTTTTGGGCAGAGGGTTGTTCTCAGAGAGAGGAGCTGCTCAGAACCTCTTCAGTCTCTGGCTTTGCAGCAGTTCCCATTTCCCTGCCCTGCAGCTCTGCTGACTCTGCAGAGCAAAATATAGTAAAACACAGGGGTAAAATAGATTCCTTTTTAGTACTTGAAAGGAATAATTCCTTTCTAGATCTGCCTGGTTCCCCACCAAACCAGAGCCTGTCAGAAATCCGGATYGTAACTCATCAGTGACGGGAGCCGGTGTTCAGGGTCACCACACGACGTTTGTGAACACAGGACTCAAACAGGGACAGCTTCCCTCTTCTGCTGCTCTCTCAAGGATGGGCTCATTTGAAAGAGGAACGGTTGTGTGGGGAGAGCTCATCCCATCACCGCTCCATCCATCATAATAAAGGTTATTAAAAGCCTACGTGACCGGCCTGCCTGTCCCCGCGGAGCTGGCGAGGCAGTCCTGCAAACTCTGCACTATAAGCTGGGTTTTATTAAATATTTGCTTGACCAGAGAGGCAGAGCAGAACAGGGTAAACATGCCTAAAGTAAATGTGGGGTGACCTTTGTCCGTCATCCATCCGGCACCCGCGGCGGCTGCGGCAGGGAGGGCAGCGGGAGGTGAAGGTGATCCTACAACAGCCTGGAAATTCAGGCTGCTGAGAGAGAATTTTGAAATATTTGGGGTGGCATGAAAGTGGTGGCTGCTCTACAAGCCCAGACTTACCCTTTCCAYTCTCAGATGTAATCGCCCTATGGGTCAAAAGAATGTGGGATTTATTCTCCCTATTATTTTTGGGAGTAAATTTTTCAGTTCTGCCGGTGCTAGCAGAGCCTCACGGATTTGAAAAAGCTGCACATCCAGACCTGTGTCACTGTCACCTCTTCCTCCCTGTTGGGATCTGCAAACAAGGATTTTTTTCCTTCCCTCCTACTTGTGCGAGCCTGGCTGTCATCGCTGGTTACACCCCTGACTGCAGCAAAGTCACTCTGTGACAGAGGGGATGGGACACTGCAGGAGGGGAGCTGTGTTTGTCTGGCATCCTTTTTAAAATCGAGAACAGCTTTGTGAAGTTCTGTTCYGGATGATGAAGAGGGATGAAGGGCCTGAGCACCAGGTTTGTGTGGTCAGCACTCATTGAGGAGTTTGGATTGTGAAACCTGAGCTGGTAGGATTCCTCTCCCACAGGTTCTGTGGAGCCATAAATGCACAAAGCTGTTTTTGGTACAGAGGCACCCAAAAAAGCGAAGGAAAAGGGAGCAGATGGATGTGTTGAGTAGGAAGATGTGTTTCCATGGGGCTTGGTGATGTGCCTACCCAATGTTTGAACCCCACACTGCTCCCACCAGCCTGGTTAAACCCTCAGATATTTTAAGAGGCTGAATGGTGCAAGGAAAACCCTCTTCCCTCTCTTTGGGAAGGTACCAAGCTGGTCCTTGGATCATTAACTTTCCCACTTCATGGTCCTTTAGGCTTTATCACGGCTAATAGATAAGAAACCCCTTTCTCCWCAGWCACCTGAGATTCCCAGGGGAGCTGGATCTTTTTTTARAGATATTTTCTTGGCTGTGARGTGGCTGGRGARTGTGAGGTGGGTGGAGARTGGTCTGTGGTGAGAGCCCAGGGGCGGGAGGTCACCCACAGCTCCGTTTGCTCCACGTTGGCCATGAGCCCGCTGCAGATGTGCCTGTGACAGCTGGCACAGAACAACCCCCTTGGCCAGTATGAGGCAGCTTTGACCTGGAAGCCACCAAGATCCTGCTCAAACAGGGCCGTTCTGGACCGAGGTCTCCCTGGAAGGATTTTAAACCRGACCAGAGCTGGCTCCTTCCTGGCAAACTTCAAGGGCTGCAGGAGAGCTCAGCATCCATCTGGAGCCGTCCCTGTAGGCAGGTCCCTGACCTTCTCCAGGCTTCAGCCCCTCATCCAGAGGAGCAGGGTAATAATCCTCCTCCAGTTCTGGCGGCTCTGATAGCAAATACACAGCTGGGCTGAGGCAAACAGCAACGCTGGGGGATGTGTCCACCATCGCCCTTCTGCGCTTCCAGTCAGTGTTTGTGCTGCACCGTGGGGCACGGGTGTGTGTCATGGAGAAGAAAAGGGTGSTGGTTTATGACTCTGCTGTGTGATTTCTGCTTTTTCTCCCAGCATCTTTTCTGTCAGGAGGGCTCCCTTTGTGCTGGTTTTAAGTAGAGGGCTCAGCGCGGAGAAAGGGAGGATTAGCAATTAAATACGCTCTGATGATGGCATGGTTGTGAAGGAGGGAGGAGGAAGGAATACTCCATAGTAATGTACTTTTGTTTTCTTTTTTCTCTGCTTGTAGGACACAATCTGCCGGGGAATTGGTGTTTTGAAGAGTTTTACAGCTCCTAATCCTCGTTGCCTTGGGAATACAAACCTCTCTAATCATGTCACCGGCCATGTGGAAATGGACTTGCCTGGTTTCTCACCTCCTGCTGTCCACCACRGTGTCCCCTCTTGGCAGGCAGCAGCCACCCCATCCAAAGAGGCCATTCATCACCTTCACCGGAGAGCAGGCAGAGGGAAACTTCAACCACTTGGTGGTGGACGAAAGAACTGGGCACATTTACCTGGGGGCTGTCAACAGGATCTACAAACTCTCCAGTGACCTGAAGGTCCTGGTGACCCATGAGACTGGTCCTGACGATGATAACCCCAAGTGTTATCCTCCCAGGATAGTCCAAACCTGCAACGAACCCTTGACGCCCACCAACAACATAAACAAAATGCTCCTCATAGACTACAAGGAGAACCGGTTGATAGCCTGTGGGAGCCTCTACCAGGGCATCTGCAAGCTCCTGAGGCTGGATGACCTCTTCAAGCTCGGAGAGCCCTTCCACAAGAAGGAGCACTACCTCTCTGGGGTGAACGAGAGTGGCTCTGTTTTTGGAGTCATTGTTTCTTACAGCAACATGGATGACAAGCTGTTCATCGCCACGGCCGTGGAYGGCAAACCGGAGTATTTCCCCACCATTTCCAGCAGGAAGCTCACCAAGAACTCCGAGGCCGACGGGATGTTCGCGTACGTCTTTCACGACGAGTTTGTGGCCTCTATGATCAAGATCCCCTCGGACACCTTTACCATCATCCCCGACTTTGACATCTACTATATCTACGGCTTCAGCAGCGGGAACTTTGTCTACTTCCTGACCCTGCAGCCTGAGATGATCTCCCCACCCGGCTCCACCACCAAGGAGCAGGTTTACACCTCCAAGCTGGTCCGGTTGTGTAAGGAGGACACGGCCTTTAATTCCTAYGTGGAGGTGCCCATTGGCTGTGAGAAGAACGGGGTGGAATATCGATTGCTCCAGGCAGCCTACTTGTCCAAGGCTGGAGCCATCCTGGCCAGGTCTCTGGGGGTGGGCCCCGAGGATGATATCCTCTTCACAGTCTTCTCCAAGGGGCAGAAAAGGAAGATGAAGTCTTTGGATGAGTCTGCTCTTTGCATCTTTGTCCTGAAAAAGATCAACGACCGCATCAAGGACAGGCTTCAGTCCTGCTACAGGGGAGAGGGGACGTTAGATCTGGCCTGGCTCAAGGTCAAGGACATTCCCTGTAGCAGCGCGGTAAGTGAAGCCCCTGAGCACCCAACCTTAACCCCATCACGTATTCACAGGTCTTCAGATAATCACCCTTCCCAACCCATAAAGTGGAGACCAAGGCACTGAGACCGGCTTGTCCCAGTCTTGGCTCTGCCTCCAGCTCACCACACCACCCAGTTTAACCAGTTTAATCTCACCACACCACCCAATTTAACCAGTTCATGCCCCTCTTTGCTCATGGACAAGCTGATGAAGGAATCAGCAGAGATGCTGTTTGCTGATGAGCTAACCAAAGGGCTTTGGAATTTTTAGGAGGAATTTGCCTGTTTTATTTACTTCACTATCAGATCACAGAGGTGGAATCACTTAGGCCCAAGTGCGCTCTCGGCTCAAACCTAAACCAAAACAGGACCTAGAGATGACAGTGGCTTGTGCCATTTTCTGTGTGTGCCGGTGTAATTTTATCCCAGGATTTATTCAGTGAACTTTGTGAAGCTGAGGCTTCATTTCTTCCAGGGCTGAGAAGCACTGGTCATTAACCATCAAAGCCCCTCACTTTCTGCTCTCCAGCCAGCTCTGCACTGAGAAATTAAGGCCTGGCTGCAGATCAAGGATTAAACACTGCAAGATTTAAGGGCAGGAYTGGGGAAGAGGCTGGTCTGTCTGACCTACAAATGGTCTGAAGAAATTGCCTCGGTTTATTCCTCCGGCTGGGGTGTTGTGGCAGGGATGTGCTCAGGGCTGGCTTTGATAGCGGGCAYGGACACGGGCATTACAGCCAGCACCGCACCCAGGGCTGCCCAAGCCGCTCCCCGGGCTTTGATTCCCAGCCTTAATTAGCTCTTTCAAGTGAGAGGCGAGTTCAAGGCTGAGCAGAGGGAATAGGGAGAAGCGCCAGAGTGCTTTCCTGCCCCGCAATCTCCAGGCAGGCACTGCTCGGGGTATGGGATTGTTCCTTTGTGCTCAAGCCTGGTTTGCTGGGGGATTCCTGCTGCTGCTCCCTGGAGGGACAAGGACAGCCCAAGAGGAATGTGGATGGGAATTTCATAGCAGGGACACGGATTCTGCCTCACTCTGCCCTAATTCCCCTTTACACCCCTCAGTGTCCTTGTTTGACCTTGCCCTGCTCTCATCCTCCCACACCAAAGGGACGAGTCCTTGATTTTAGTCGGGATCTCTTCTGCCTCAACCCGCAAAGCTCCCTGTGGAGCGCTGCACTGGGAGAAAGGCTGTGCCCAAATCTGGCTTTGATTTTTTTGTTTAGCCGCAAGGCCTGTGCACATTCAAAGAGCTGCCTTTAGATTTAAGCTGGGAGCTTCCCACTGGAGTTTCTTTCCCGGGCTCTTAAGCCTCTCCATGCATTTGCATATTTGCTCTGCTTGTGCTCCGCGCTAACGTTTGCAGCGCTGGACCTCTCCAATTAGGAGGTTTGAAACCTCTCAGTCCTGGCTTCTGTGGCTTTAGACAGGAGCAAAAAAAGATCAACAGCTTACTTGTGTCCCGTGGGGTGAGTCCCAAGCCACGAAAACTGATGTCAGATTGGATTTGTAAGGACAGGACTGCAGAGGTTGGAGAGAGGAGAAGTGTTAGAGCATATTTAAGAGTGTACTTCCTCGCTGTGAATCAGAGATGCTGCAAAAGAATCTGGAAATCCTTGAACTAAAAGCAGGAAGCCTGAACAGTGTGAGTAGGCTGTCCTCTCTTTAAATGAGCCTGCTTAGAGCTGCTGGCAAGCCCTGCCTGAGATCAGCTGTGCTGCCCCAGGGAAGAGGTATTAGTGTCTTGGCTGCTGGAAGGGGCTGCCGAATCCAGCCGCTAAGCCTGGACAATATTTGCTGCTTGGTGAAGWATTTTGGAGCCTGGATGTGTCTGTGAGAGAGAGCCTGGTCCCCTCTCTGCTGATGTCCTGCCTGCCAGCCCTGCTGCCACTCAGCACATGTGTTCGAGGCAGCTYGAAAACCAATTACAGAGCCATCAGTGAGCCTTTCCCCGCTTTTGTGTGGATGTCAAATGTTTCTCTGCTGCTGCAAACAGAGGCTTAACCTGCCCACGGTCCAGGCTGGGACTGACCTTCAGCTTTGCTGCCCTGCTTTGGCAGCTGGAATCCTTTATGAGAACAGGTCTGGCTGATGTGCAGGGCACTGGGCAWYTCARAGTGACAGAGGAGAGATTTGGATTAGATGTTAGGAAGGAATTCTTTACACAGAGGGTAGTGAGACATTGGAACAGGTTGCYCAGAGAAGCTGTGGCTGCYCCTGGATCCCTGGAAGTRTCCAAGGCCGGTTTGGATGAGGCTTGAAGCACCCTGGSATAGTGGGAGGTGTCCCTGCCCATCGCAGGRRTGGCACTGTTTGATCTTTAAGATCCTTTTCAACCCAAGCCATTCTGTGATTCTTTGTGGTATTAACTGTAGGACTGAGGAGCTGAGTTCACTGCCCTTCTCTTGCCTCTTGGTGTGTGTTCAGGTCTGGCTTTTAGTAACAAATATTCTAATTTTTCCAGTATTTCTAGCAGAGCAACTGACTCAAAGGGCATCCACATGATAGGATATTTCTGCCCCTGCCTTGGTGTAATACTTGCTCAAAGCCATTCCAGGCAAGAAAAATCTCCTGGGGACCATTCCCAGCACACCTGCAACGTGCACACAAATAACTGCAGAGATGTGGGGGAATTACGAACTTTTTCCCCAGTAGCAGAGTATTTATCTTCTCTGGTCTGGTAACTTGGCTGCAGYTGGAGCTGGCAGAGCTGAGCTCAGGAAGGCAACTGGGCTGGACAAACTGTATCTCATGGTCAATATTCTATGGGAAATACTGGGTGCCCAGATATCCTGCAGGGCTGAATATCTTGGAATATTTCCCTGGTCTGGTTTGCAAAAATCAAAGCAAAGACAAAGGGAACTCTGTGTGAGGAGCCCGTGATTGTCCCGTGCCCGGTGCCTGTTGTAGGTGACAGCAGAATTCCTAGAGTGGGAAAGGTGAAACTCCAGAGATGAACAGAGAATCCTCAAYGCCCATTCCTCTCCCATCCCCGTGTTACAGCTGTCCTCCTATTCATCTTCAGCATAATTCAGGAAAAAATGATAGATTTTTATGTCTGGGCCGTTGATTTGCAAATTGGTGATGTTCACTCAGGTGATGAATGGTCTCAGGTAATTCCTCTCTGCAAAAGCAGGATAATAGCTGATATTTAAGCAGTACACTTGACCCCAGATGCTTAGAAATTCATATAATCAGAGAAAAATGAGACTGGGAAAAAAGGATTCTTACGAGGTCATCTGATTTGCCCTTCTGCCCTACTTATAACGCTTCTGACAGATGTTTGTCTCACCTGTTCTTAACCTCTGGCTGTGGAGATTCCTCTCTCTCTCCCTAAAATCTGTCCGTGCTGTTAGGAAGCTTTCCCTCATGTCAAATCTAAATCTCCTCTCTGGATACTGAAGCCATTCCTGCTTACCCAGTCAGAGGGCACCTTCAAACCCTTTGGCTCTCTGGACAKGCAGGGTGTTGGCAGGAGGCAGGGCTGCTCTGGAGGGGAAAAAACAGGCTTCCTAAAACAGAAAACCAGCTTTGTGGTGGGTAAAAAAGGCTGTGGTTTAAATGTCCTTCATAAACTTKGTAATTGAGCAGCTTGATCTAGCTGAGGCTGTCCCTGCCCATGGCAGGGGGTTGGACTAAATGAACTTTTAAGGTCCSTYCCAACCATTCTGTGGTTCTAYGGCGCTGCTGGGAAATGCTGGATTTCTTTAATAATAAATTAAAGAAAAATAGGCWGTTTGAGAGGAGGATGGAGATGCAAATGTGCCATTTCTGTACAGGAATCGATCATTGGGGGATCTGTTGATTGCCTTTGCTATGAAATAAGATAAATGKGTGCATTTTGAAGCTCAGTGAGAATTTCACTCCTGGGATACTCAGCAGATGAAACAGGGGAGCCTTTCCCTCTCCCTTGGGGCAGGTGGGTGAGACAAAATGCAGGGATGAAGATGAGGAGGCTGTTGGAGACTGACCCCAAAGCAGCCTGAGGGTGTCAGGGCTGTGGGGAAATGGAGAGGAGCAGGGATCAGAGAGGAGTAGGGATCAGAGAGGAGCAGGGATCTGACAGGAGCAGGGATCTGACAGGAGCAGGGATCCTGCTGGAACTTTGGCTGGGAATGAAGTCCCAGATGACCCTGGCTGCCACTTAGGAGCTGGGTGCACCCCAGGGCTGCTCTCCTGGGAGATCCTGGGCTGCTCCTCACCTGATCTTCCTCTCAGCCCCACAGAACTCCAGTCCCTGCCCTGAAAAAGTGCCACCTCCACTGCTGCAGCTTCTACCAGACACRCAGCACCAACATCTGTCCAAGACAATCAAAGTGTCAGCCTCCAACTCTCGCCTGGCTTCTGCCTTTTGCTGGTATTTTCTTTTCCTTCTGGCAGGAAATGGGGTTTGACTGTTTAAATTGCTGTATTCAGTCTCTTCCTGTTTTTCATGGCAGCGCTGTCACTTAGGGGAGAGCAGAAATGTTTTCCGAGCTGACTGGCCAACAAAAGCCCTTGTGTGAAGAGCTGGGCAATATTTTCCCAACACTTTGCTACCAGAAGTGGATGTTTGGGTCTCAAATCAYTGTCTGACGGGTGACTTGGCTGTAGAGGCTTCCTGTGCTCTGCTGGCTGTTGGTAACTCCCCAAAATCTCTTTGCATTTGCTGCTGGTGAGGTGTCTGAGAGTTTTGCACCAACTCCATGTGTTTGATCCTCAATGGGACACTGCTCTCCTGCTTTCCCAGTCCATCCCTGATGCCCACCAAGCCAGCACTGCTGCTGTCATGGGGTTTGGGTGGACTCAGGAGAGGGTTGTGGAGCTTGTCTTTCCATGGAAGGCACGTTTGGATGGGCACTGCCAGCTGGGCAGGGGCAGTTTCCTTTGGCAGCACAGGGATGGGCACTGTTTGCTCTTTGGGGGTGATCCATGGGCTCCTCCTGCTCCATTCCACCAGGCTGGGAAGGRCCAGTTTGAGCTCAGGTGGTGCCAAGGCTTCATGTC